CTCTCTCTCCTCTGTCTGTCTGTCTGACCTATTTGCTGGCTAATGGAAATTCCACTGATAGAGTAACATTCACTGAGGCCATCTAGATGTCATGACTCAGACTTATAATCTTATAGGTACTTGAGTTTGAATGCAGTCTAGGCTGCATAGTATGTTTGAGGCCACCATGGGCTATAGAAAGGGACTCTGTCTCATGAAGCATTATAATAATCATGGTCATAATAATAATAGTAAACTAACTGTCCATAAATATTTTCTAAGCAATTTCTATTATAGCATCATACTAAAATGGTAAGACACAAGAAATTTAGTATTGATCTAGTAATATGATCTATTACATAATTCATATTAATAATTGTCAGTTTTCTGAGTTATATCACTGTTGATATTTCTTCAAATTCACTATCAGTGCTTTCCCTTGTAATGTCCTTTAGTTTTAACATGGTTATAGACTTATGATGTCCTTAGTTTTTTGAATCTGACATTAAAAATATCAAATTTGACCTTGGAGTGTGTATGTAATTAAAATGTCCCCAATGTAAATCATGAGAAATATGAGTTAAAATATATACATCTCTTCAAGAACTATTGTGCAGGCTCGTTTTATGTCAACTTGACACAAATTGGTACATCTGAGGGGTGGGAACCTCAATTCAGAATGTGCCTCAATAAGATTTGTGTGCATGGAAGCACATTTTCTTAACTAGTGATTGATTAGGACAGCTCAGCACTTTGTAGGTGGTGAAACACTTGGGCTGATGGTCCTGGGTTCTACAAGAAAACAGACTGAGCAAGCCATGGGAATCTTCCAGTAAGCATCACTCCTCCATGTCCTGTGCATCAGCTTCTGCCTCTTGATTCCTGCCAGATTTGAATTCCTGTCCTGACTTCTGATGATTGACAGCAATACTGAAGTGTAAGTCAAATATACCTTTTTCTCCTCAACTTGCTTTTTGGTCATAGTGTTTCCTCATAACAATAGAAACCCCAACTAATAGAATAATCAAACCCTAACAGGGCATTCTTTTGCCACCCAAATTTCATTTCTACTCCTTACCCTACCTGGGCCCTGGAAAGCAGACATTTGCTCTCTTGTACTGTAAATTAGTAAGACATAGTCAAGTGTGTCATATACTAGGCACAGATTTGTATTTGGCTCCATTTTCCTCTGCATCTTTTACTATTATTATTATCGTTATTATTTTTTAGGAAACTCAAGCATTTTTCACAGATAAGTGTTTCATTTCTCTTGTTACAAGTACTTTTGTATTACATAAATATACCATGCTATTTCTGCATTCACTCGTAAACATAGGATATGTTTCAAGTTTTAACAATTTTAAATAAAGTTCTCATGTCATTTTGTGTGTAAGTCACTGTGTGAAATACATTTTATTTTATTTTTATTTTGGTAAACATCTAGATCTTTGATCTCTGTGTTCCAGTATTAAGTGCAGTTTCATTTCACAAGAAAGTTATAGCATGTTTTGAATAGTTTATGTCATCTTACTTTCTCTGCAACATGGGAGAGCTTCCTTTGCCCTTCATCTTTGCCAACACTTGGAACAATTCAATGCTTGAAATTTTACCATCTTGATTAACTGAGGAATTATCATTTCTCTAAGAACTAATAATACCAACCATCTTTTTCAAGTACTTATTGGTCAGTCATGTTTTCCTTTGTCAGATATCTATTCTTATCTGCTCATCTCCTAGTTGCAACATTGTAAGAGGGAGATTATATATATATATATATAAAATTTGGATACAAAACTTTTGATATAATTGTATTTTCTTACTGTCTAGTCTGCATGTTCTGAAATAAATCATTCAACAATATAAAATTTAACATTTCATTGTAATTTGACATATCACTTTTTCATGCTATCAAAATAAGTTTTTGTTTATATAAAATTGCAGAGGTTTTAACAGTGTCATTTTTCCTAGATATTATATAGTTTCAACTTACACATTTACCTCAAGGTAATTTTTTTTTAATTTTGATTTTGTGTGTGTGTGTGTGTTTCTCTCTGTGTGTGATTGTATGGTCACATGCCTTGTGCCTTGGTACTTTAGAGGCCAGAAGAGGGCATTGGATCCCCTTGAGCTGGAGTTTCAGGAGATGGTGAGCCACTCAGGTGCTGGGAACTGAATTAGGTCCTCTGATGAGTAGTATGCTCTCCCCTCTCTTTTAAAAATCATAACAGACACTTATTTGATACTTCCGGTGTGTTCTTCAATGTACTGTGCATTTAAAACAGAGTTTGCTTTTCAGAGCAGTTTTATTTTATTTTGAATATATTTTAATTGAAAATAGAAGTTTAATACGGTACATTATTATTATGATATCCCATCAACATTTTTTCTAAGATCCCTCCCACTTCTCTCTTCCACACAAATCCACCTCCTTTCTTTTTCTCTCTAATTAGGATACAAAGAGACATTTTAAAAAATAAAATGAAATGAAATTAGATAGAATTTTAAAAAGTTAAAATTTCACAAAACAAACAGAAGAAAAAACAAATAAATAAAAAGCTTGAGATACATAAATATACAAAGAGACAGACACAATCGCACACACAGAAGCCCCATATGCACAAAACTGGAAATAATAATACATAACCAAAGGACCTAAAGGAAACTAAAAATCCTGACAAAGTATTAGGAGACAAAGAGCCTCCAAAAATACCATTGAATGCATTTTGCTTTGGCCTTCTACTGAAGGGCAGGGGGACTGGCCTTGAGAGTGGTTTGTATACCCAGTGAGATTCTAGAGCATTCATTTTTTATTTTCAAGTGGTTATCAATTTCGAGAGCCTCTGGTTAGGGCTGTGTGCTGTGTCCACTTTCTCTCTTGACAATGGGACCACATCAGGCCCAGACATGTGCAAGCCTTGTGCATGATGCCATATTTCTGTGAGTTCATATGTGTGTCAGACATGTTGTATCTAAAAGAACTTGTTTTTTGGTGTCTTCTATCCTGTTTCTTAAACTCGTTCTGTTTCTTCTTCCGCAGAGTTGCATGAGTCTTGAGGGGAAGGAACTGATTTAGACATCCATTTAGAACTGAGCATTTCAAAGTCTCTCACTTTCTGTATAATATCTGCTTGTGGGTCTCTGTATTTGTTCCCATCTGCTGCAGGAAGAAGCTTCTCTGGTGATGATGAGGCACAGATTTATGAGTAGAGCAGAATGTCATTAACAGTCATTTTATTGTTATGTTCCTTTAGTAGAACAGTAGTATTTGGTTTTCCCTGGGTCCATGGCCTGTCTAGTCTCAGATGCTTGGCCACCCAAGCTGTGTTGAATATGGCTTCCACAAATAATATTTGTTGGTTACTGCTACAAGTTTTATGCCACTATTGAACCAGATGATCTGGCAGGAAGGTAAATATTGTAGAATGAAAGGTTTGTAGCTGGTTTTTAACTTTTCTTTTTTGGTAGCATGTGAAGTACCTTCCAGAAGTCTCCCACTCCACCAGAGGCCAGGCCAGCAACCTGAACCCCATGTAAGACTGCCCCCACACCTCACCTGTACCTACCCAACATAACCCCACCTGCCTATGCTTTCATTGTTGCTACATCCTGGCACACATTTCTGGCAGAAGTCTCCTCTTCCACCACCATCCTGAACCCCAGAGACCAGGCACAAGGCTATTGGCACACTTTCTTATATTAATGTTCCATCCTCTCAGATGACTTTAGTTGTATCATGTTGACATAAAACTAGCCTGCATAGTGGTGCTTGAAGAGGTGCACATATTTGTTAAACTCATAATTTTCATGACTTTCTTTGGGTACATTATATTACATACACACTCCAATTTCAAAACTTGGTTTTTTTCTTTAATGTCAAGGCAAAAACAATCAAAGAAGGCACAAAAATGTACAATATGAAAGCAACATTAGGAAATATTAACAATGATATGATTCCCAAACTGACAAATGTGAAAATGGATTATGGATAGGATATATTCCTATATCAATACTAAATCTCCTGTGTTTTATCATTATGTATGAGGATATATATATAAGAAATTGCTTGTCCCTAAATATATTTATGGATTATTATTATTATTATTATTATTACCAATCATTTTTATTATTAATGAGATAATATCTCACTCTCTAGCCCACAATGGTCAAAAACTTACTATGTAACATAGGTGGCCCTCAAACTCATCTGCCTATAAGATTATAAGTCTGAGTCATCATATCCAGCTAGCCTCAATGAATACTACTGCATTTAATGTTGCCAACTTATCATCAAATGGATCAGGGAGGGTGAGAGGGGGAGAGAGAGAGAATGAGAACACATATGGGATGTGGATAACTGTATGAGTTTCTTGAATTATACTGGCAACTATTCATCATGTATAAAATTATATTTTAAGCAAATAAATGTTTTTTAAAGATGACAAATTCTTCTGCCTGCAAAATATAACAAACACTAAACAATCAACTAAAAA